AAGTTTCCACCAGCATCAGGACTAGAAAGTAGGACAAATGTCAAAGGGCTAATTGCAGATAGACCTGTTTTACAATCACCTAATTGCAGATAGACCCTCTATAGTTCTATTTTTCTGATAGACACCTAAGTAAATTTTCTTTCGACTTTTTACCCTTAGAGAAAGAGAGAATTGTTTTTCTGACAAATAGACCTCCTGAGTGTAAAAGAGTCAAAGAAGAAGAATAATCCAAACCTGAGCAGTGGGCACGACCATGTGTCTCTTCCTGCGGAGTAGAAGAGGGATAGCGCCTCCAGCCAGATATTTCGCGCTTTCTTTGCTGTGAGGATGGCTCAAGTAATGGCGTCTGTAATGAGATTAACCAAGTCTTGTCATAAAGAGGCAAATGACACACTTAAAAGATGAAATATTGAAGCATTGCCTTTGCTCACTAACATACATCTATAATGATCATCAGAAAAGCGTTTCCCTGTTTGAATGGAATTTAGTACATAACAATATTTTAAACAAGGAACAGATTGACCAATTTCCACAACAGGTATAAAGCCAATCCTCTGAGGCATTGTGCTATTTTCCGAAAGAAAATATATAAAAGAGAGGCAGCCAAGGCTATAACAAATAAAAATCAATGAGCCAGTATTAAATCAAAAGTATGTCCAGCTAAAAAAGAAGAATCCACTAAAAGGATCACACACACAAAGAAAAGATCTTCATTGAAAGCAGAAGAGCGCGAGATCCAACTATAGAATTTGAGCTACACGCAAAGCAGCAAGATTTAAACATATTCCGATGTAATAAGCATATCATACATAGGTGTTCTGATCTCCAATTCGCATTGACCCAGCTAACGATAGGAATTACTAAGTCAAAAGTTAACATGTTGGCAGAAATTTATTAATCAGGAGACAAATTAAGATTTAGGCATCAACAAGTGTCAAACGCACCACAACAGGCTTTTGAATGGAAGCTAAAAGGTGACAGGACAATCATTAAATTTTAGCTCGAATCTGAATTATTATTTTTAACACCAAATGAGATTCCTAGATTAATCGATTTAAAAAAAAAAATCAAAGTCCTACAAATGTGGAATAGAAAGACCAGTGAAGAAAAGGAGCATGATTGTGGATCAAACAAGATTATGACTAATGTTAAGCATTTTACATTTCAGGTTCACATAAGTAGAAAACAAGGGTTTCTTTCTTTTTCTCAATGGAAATACTTTTGACTCCTATCTTAAAAAGAAAAAGTTCACTACTCAACAGACACCAAAAGCTTCTAAAGAGAAAATAGCATGAATCATCCCCTGACCTTGTCAAGACTGCCATTAGGAACCACAGTGGTCGGCAAATATAGATTGATAATCTCACTCTGTCTACACTGCCTATTACATTGAGGGCACTGCAAAATCAAAGGCAAGGAAATATATAAGAAAACAATCTTTGATTAACTAAGAGCTGAAGAGAATGATTGCAGCCAAAATTCCAGTGATTGAACAAATTAACCATATTAATTATTTACCTTCCCATTTGTCTCTCCACGTCTTTGGAGCCATGTCACTAAGCAAGATTTACCATGAACATGCCCACAAGGAAGACAGCTACATCAAGAAATGTTATCAATGACACTTGGGGGAAAAAATTTGTTACAGAAGTTTGGATAATTTACAGAGTATCCCTCAGTGGCTTATAGAAATGACAATATTCCTCCTAAGGTTTTACAAGTAAAACCTTGGCCTCCTCTTCATCTTTTTCTCACTTAATAAACATTTACCATATATCATCACTTTTGGATACAATAATCATATACAGATTTATATATAGGCAATTATCATGTTAAATCACTATAGTTTTTTACATCCAAATTAACTTTGGAAATAAAACAGAGAGGATAAAAAAAGTTTAAAACCTTGGGGGTACTACTGTGAATCATGCAAACCTTAGGATTTTCTATAATTTACCTAAAATCTGCAATCAAATCCCAAATCCTATTACCTAAAAGCAAGTTACATCATCAATAAAAGAAACAAACAAAAGCTGGGATTCCCCACAGAAATATCAACAATGCATATATATTTTCCAAGATTCCAACTTTACCACAAAAAAAATCAAATAATCACCCAAAATCCAGAAAAAACGAATCATGGATCTAAAATTCCAACTTACCAAACTCGATGGGGACAATTAGCAGTGCAGGCCTACTTACTTTCATTATGTTTAAACTAACACATTTAACCTAGAGGGACTAATTTGGGGTAATGAATTAACAGGTTTTCGACATTTATGTTATAACATCAAGTTTTGGGGACTTTCTTGAAATTAGGGTATGAGAGTTGGAGGCAGCAATATCTCAAAAACCCAAATCAAATCCTAATTCTATAACCTGCGAGCATGCAAATCATCAATAAAGGAACAAGCAAATGCAAAATATTCCACTTTACTACAAAAACTACCAATAATCAATCACTCGGGGAAAAAGGAGAAAGTGAATAATTGATCTAAAATTCAAACTTACCAAACTTGATGGGGGAACATTAGCAACCCAGGGATGCTTACTTTCATTTGGTTTAAACTACCAAATTTAAACGAGAGAGATCAATTTAGAGCAACTAATGGGTTTTGGAAATTTATTATATAGTTTGGGGGACTTCTTCAAAATTCGATGCAAAAATCCTAATCAAATCCCTAATTCTATGACCTAGGCTAAAGATTCCAACTTTACCACAAAAACTACCAATAATCACTCAAAAAAAAAAATTTCAAATCATTGATATAAAATTCAAACTTACCAAACCCAATGGGGAACATTAGCAACCCAGGGGTGCACACTTTCATTTGGTCTAAACTACCAATTTTAAACTAGAGAGATCAATTTGGGGGTGACTAATGGGTTTTGAGATTTATTATATAGCATCGAGTTTTGGGGACTTCTTTGAAATTAGATGCAAAAAACCTAATTAAAATCCCTAATTCCATAACCCAGGCTAAAAAGACTCCAACTTTTCAATAAAACCAAATAATTACACACAAAAAAAAAAAGAAAATCAAATCAAATCATTGATCTAAAATTCAAACTTACCAAACCTGATGGGGAACATTAGCAAGCCAGGGGTGCATACTTTCATTTGGTCTAAAATACCGAACTTAAACTAGAGAGATTAATTTGTTGGGGGTAAATAATGGGTTTCGGGGACTTCTTCGAAATTAGATGCAAAAACCCTAATTAAAATCCCTAATTCCGTAACCCAGGCTAAAGATTCCAACTTTACAACAAAAACCACCAAATAATCACTGGAAAAATAAATTGTATCATTGATCTAAAATTCAAAATTACCAAACTCGATGGGGACCATTAGCAGTCCAGGGTTTGAAGCAGATGGTGCAATTAGCCGACCGATCGAAATCGACGTTATCACCATCGATCTCCTCCGTCTGCTCCCTTTCTCCTCCGTTGATCTCCATCCAATTAGCTTCTTCTTCCTCCTCCTCTTGTTCATCATCGTCGTATTCTCCTCCTCCTTCTTCTTCTTGATCATCATCATCATCATCATATTCTTCTTCTCCTTCGTCATCATCATCATCATATTCTCCTCCATCATCATCGTAGTCGTCCATCAAAGCTTCATGATCCTCTGCAACGTCGTACATATTGTGTTCTTCCTCTTGCTCTTCAGCGTCGGGGGATGATGCGTAGAAATCGATGAGATGGTTGTTGTTGGCATCGGATGCTGCTGCTGCTGCTTCTTCTTCTTCGTATTCGCCTTCAGATAAGTAGTAGTCTTCGTTAAAACGATTTGATGCCATCAAATTTGGGGGGAGAGGGAGGAAAAAAGAAAAGAAAAAGGGGCAGGGGTTAATTGCACTTAAATACCCTGTAGTTTCCCCTGCTTTGGGTTCGGATTCGGATTCGGATTCGGATTTGTTTGGATAGAGCTTAACAGGGGACAAGTCAGGGACACTATTCACTCTAAATAAAAGTTTTTAAGGGTGAAAATATTATTCTCATTCCCCTTGATTATCCTAATAATAATAAATAAAAATCTGTCCCACCTCACCCCACCCCACTCCTCTAAATTGAGGCGGAATGTAAGGAAATGTAATTTATCATACTTTCCATTCTCCTCTCTCCTTTGTTTTTCCTTAACTTCCCCAATCCTCATTGAAATCTAAATACGTCCTAAGAGTTTATTTAGCAACTTTATAAAATTGTGCAAGGGTTGAACTGGTCCAATTATATGTTACTAGGTGGAATGCACGTACGCTGCATGTGGTCAAATATTATAATTATTTACTTTTAAGTTTATTTATTTACTATAACATGGTTGTAAAAAAAATTATAATTATTGTAATATATTAAATTTTTTGGATATTTCCATGTGTGATTTTAACATTTTATCTTTCAGAGAAATAGTGATGTTTAAATCCTTAAAATATTAACAATTTAAGACTAAATAGTAATTTGAATGTATAGTTTCAAAATAATAATGATGTAAGGGACCAATATGAAAAAAAAAACCTATTATTATTAATGAAAAATAAATTCTTGAGTTCATTAAGGAAAATGGTAGGTTTTATCTAGTCATTAAGGATTTTGTTTAGTTATAAAAAAATTACTTCCACATGTTGTTTATCCGGTGATCGTGTATTATATATATTCAAGAATTTTTTTCTAGAATTTTCTAAGTTAGAATGTGCAAATTCAATCAAGACAGAAAATATAAATTATGTGATTAATTCCAAAATCTAATGTTGTACTCTTTTTACATCTTCCTAAATACTAATTGATCTATCAAAATGATTACTCTCTGGTTTCAGAAAATTATAAAACATAGTCTGTGAATGATTTGTACATATTATGCACTCATATTGATTGTATTTTAATAAAATAATTTATATCTATGCAATGTCAAACAACATTCAAAAATTTAGCTTAAGGAGTTAGAAGAATACAATATCTGCAATAATAGTCATATGAGCTTCATAAACTTATAAGAATGTGAGCAATATAAAATGACAACTTAATTTACTTTGTCAAATAATTTAATACAAATTATGAAAGACAAGGGGAATCAGAACGATCATATACACATCCCAAATAAATATTAAATTTCTCTTAGAGATTATTATAGCAAAAGATTTTTAGAGTTGATGTGTTGGATAAATTTAAGGACATGTAACTCAAACAAATTTATTGAGTGGTAGACTTGCTATAAACCCCACTCTTATAAAATTGATATCACATTTGCCTTAAGTTGTGCTTTTTGTCTAAGAGTTAATTTTAGAAAACTCTCCCTCAACTATGGAGGGCATGACAAAAACTATTTAAGACTGAGTAAATCTCTGCCGAATTTTGTAGATAATCTATCTCAGTTTAAAAAATTTTGATTTAACCCCAATGAACTTTTCTCACTTAAACCTTCAAAACTAACATCATTAAGTCTTATCTATTATGTGACAAGTACTTGACTTGGAAAGACAAAAATATCAATCAATCATAAAAGAATTACCTTGGCTTTTGCCAAATAAAAGAGGTGATATAGAGGAGAAAAATTGTAAATTGGTTGTGATCCTTTTATTATCGGTTGAGGGTTTCTACTTAATTAAAATTGCTTTCTTCAAGAAGATATTTTTTCCAAATCACATATCGAAGTAACTATGTTAAGGGGTGTTAAGGGGGTTTGTTGATAGAAGTGTAAAAGATTAGGGGAGTTTTTATGAGATACGCTATAGTTGAGAGATGTTTTCTAAAATTGCACCAAAATTGAGAGGGGTTATTTATAACACCCCACATAATGAGGGGGTTTTATAAAATTGAATTAGTTGAGTGGGGTTTTTGAGACAATCCCCATAGTTGAGAGGGTTTTTTTTAATTAACACTTCTTTTAAATATGGCTTATTTATAATTTGTCCCTCAAAATTTTAATAATGTAATATTATTCCCTAAAATTATGAGCAATTTCCAAAATTTGTGGGAATAACATAGAATCATTGGATATTTAAAATTAAGGAACTAATATCTAAATGACCTTTACATATTTTCTCTTATAGGCATTCTATTAAATATCAACCAATATATTGCTATATCAGCCAATATATCGGGTTAAAGACTTTATCTTAGTAATATTTTATATTATTTTATTTGTTTGTTGATTTTTTGATAAATCGACCGTTATCGAAAATATGGCTGATATATCCCTTTGAAGATATCGAGAAAATCATGTTATTTTTTAATTTGATTGTGGGTTGGGGTTTGGATCATGTATGGGAAATAAAATCGGAACCTGCAAAACCCACAAATACCATAATTCTTCTCCCAAATCTCTCCACTCTAGGCTCTCCCAAATCTTAAACATATATCTTGATAAAAATTCTTATGTTTAAAATTCATTAATTTGTTAGATTATATATTACAATGTCATGTTATGTATGAATATTTACTCATATGACACACAGTCTTACATGCATATCCCTGATTTTTGCTACCCGATATCATAGAATTTAGTTTTTCAATATTTATTTGATGTCAAACACTTTGTAGTAGTTCTTCAAAAGCCTCTTCTAAAATTTTCAAAGCGAATTATATAATTTTAAGAAATAATTCAAAATATTGAGACTCATTCAAAATATGATGCTTTAATTTTTCCACATCTCCTCTACTATATAAATATAAGCTCAGCATCTAGCCTCATATCATATGATGAATATTATTTGTCAATGTGATCATATACTATTGTTTATATATAACAAAGGTTTCAAATCTTTTCTAGTCTTAACTGAACTTAAATACCTTATAGTTTACCAAAATTATACTTATATACCTCCACTTGTATCTTGCTGCACATTTTTAAAAAATTTTAGAAAACGTATATTGATGCGCTTAAATATCCTAATATTTTCTAAAATTTAATGTTTGTACCTTCTGTCTTATTACCTAAACATAAGAATGCTCTTTGTAATTTTCCTATATGAGTTTCATGATATAATTTTAGGATAATTCTATGTTTTCTATTCTTTCCATAAATACTTTATTGACATGCAATTATCTATTTATAATTTTAGGATAATTCTATGTTTTCTATTCTTTCCATAAATACTTTATTGACATGCAATTATCTATTAATATATTATTATACATTACTAATAATTAATATGATGTAGAGTTTTATAATAACGTTGGAAGTTCTAAGGACCAAATTATGCAAACTTAAAGTGATATATAATATAGTTAATTAACTCCTGCTTAAATTTGAGTATCTTATTTCTAAATTATCTTCGAGCTATAATTTCAGTTTAGAAATTAGAATTCTACTAGTTGGCAAACAACTCAATTGAAAATTTTAAAATTGAAATTCTAAAGTTTGCCAAACATGAATTTCAAATTGAATTCTGGAATTCAAATTTGGATGTTTCCCAAACGAAGGAATTGAATTTAAAATTCTGGATTTCAAATTTTAGAATTCAATTCTGGAATTTGAAATAAAATCCTCGAATCCAAACGCAATCCTACGGAGGTAACAAATTTCTGACTGGCAATCTTAGTGTTCCAATATTTTGAGATGTCTCCTATAAATCTTGGTCAATTTTCAGCTGGGTCAATCTGATCTTAGGGGCTGGGTTTGGGACTCCTTACTAATGGTGGTTTGCGCTTTGATTGTGTTAATATTTGGAATGGGCTGGCTGTGAGGGGTAAGCTCAATACTAAAAATGTTCTTAATAGAAAAGGAATGAATATTAACATAGTTTGTTGCTTTTTGTGAAGCAGATAAAGAGTCTCATTCTCATCTACTTTCACATTGCATATTCATTTTATCTATTTTGAGATCTATTCAATTTAAATTTGCTATTACTAGTATTTGTTCGGCAGATTCTCTGAAACAGACGTGGCTTGAATGGGGGTTACAGTCTGATATTGTATCTAATATGCGGTGGGGTATTTTTATCTGTGCCGCGACATGGTGTATATTGGAAGAGCAAAATGACAGGATATTCTCCGCAAAAAAAAAGAGTTCTCTTAACCTTCTTAGTAAAATTGTACGTACATTTTGCATCTTTTTGGATAGGTCACGCTAATACATCAACTAGGGCGAAACGACATGAGATGCGGCACAAGAGGTGAGAGGATGCTGCTGGTCTGCTCTTTCGACCACTTCTGGAGGTGGTGATCTCATTTCATGCCCCATTGTCCTCGACAGATGTACATGCAGCCCGCTGAAGCTTTCTGTTTTCTTTCTTTCTTTCTTCTTCATTTTTTTATGTTTTTTTTATTTTTTTGTAGGTATAAAGATCAATGGGACTTTATGTAGGGTTTTATTTTGGATCTGTAATATAATGTGGTAAACTGCTTATAATCATGTTCTTGGTCGGGGGATATGATTTATATTTATAACAAACAATTTATTTTGGTTAATACCGCAGGCTGGGACTCTTCTGATGGCCCATCCTTTCTCTCACAGAAAACATATATGGGTGGGGGAGGATGGATTTCTGCAAAAGTTACACTAATGACAATGACTATTGTAGGCATCAAAAAATGCTTACAGACATCCAAATACCACTCAAGGCAAAGAGGAGACGATAAACGCCATTCTCTTAATCAGATGAGATCATTCAAAGTAGGTGAGACAACATGGAAGAACAATGTACACACCAACAGGCAGTACATGGCGGCGCGGCTGAGGCACGGCAGTACATGGTGCCGCGGCTAAGGCGCGACAGCCCATGGTGGTTAAACCACGAAAAAGGTGGTTAAAGGTCGTGGGAGAATAGTTTTAAACACGAAGGAACGTAGGTGTAACTGCCCCTTTAGCCGCGGCAGCCCACACTGCCGCGCCAATAGCCGCGACA